ATGAAATGAAAGCACACCGAGCTTCCTACATGATAAGGGAAATAACATACTTGTATTTGAAAGTAGACAATATTAAGCGAAAAGTATATATTATAAGCTCTGGAGCAACCACTATTTACTTACTAGAAGTAAGTAAGTATAGCTAATGAGCCAAAAGAAAATATAAAATGACAAGATACTAAAAAAAAAAAAAAAAAAAAAAAAAAAAAAAAAAAAAAAAAAAAAAAAAAAATAGCCCAAAATAAGTCAGAAAGAAAAAGATCAAAGAAAAAATGGAATAGAAAACAAAAAGCAAGATGATATAGACTCAAATCCAATCACATCAATAATTCTATTAAATGGAAGGAGACTAAATGTTCCAATGAAAGGACAGAAATTGCCAGACAAGGTAGATAAAAAGTAAGATCCAAATGGACCACAAAATACTCATTTTTTTAAAGCTTATTTAGTTTGAGAGAAAGAGAGTGAGCGAGTGGGGCAGGGGCAGAGAGCAAGGGAGAGAGAGTGACCTCAGCCAGCTCCTGACTGTTCAGTGCAGAGCTTGTAACGCGGGGCTCGAACTCATGAACCTTGAGATCATGACCCGAGCTGAAGTTGGACACTTAACTGACTGAGCCACCCAGGCACCCACACAAACTATTTATTTAAGAGATGCATATTCAGTATAAAGACACAGATGGGTTAAAAGGAAAAGGAAGGAAAAAGATAAACCAGGCAAACACTAGTCCTAAGAAAGCTGGCATGGTTAAGCAGTTACTTACTGACAACATAAGTGGTATTATTGGAATTACAGAGAAATATTCATAACGATAAAAGGGTCAGTTCATCAAGATGACATAACAATCAAAAATGGTCATGAACTTAATGGCAGAGCTTCAGACAAACTGACAGTTGATAAAAGTCAGAGTTTTCAACATCCTTCTTTCAGTAACTGCTAGAATCGACAATCAGCAAGGTGGAGAGGACATCTCGAGTTATCAAGTCACTGGACCTAACTTACATTTAGAGAACATTACCCCCAACACTTGTCGAATCCTCATTCTTTACAGGTACACATGGGACAGTCGCCAAGATGTACCGTAGGCTGAACCATAAAATGAGTCTTAAAACATTGAAAGGGACAGACATGAAAAAAATAAGAAGAAGAAAGACCGGAGGAAAGTTTTCACCCCTAGCCTAGAACCCAAGCCAAGACAGAAAAACTCCCTCATTAGTCTTCCTTTCCCAGAAGTTGCATTTTTCTGGTTTATTCTTCTCCTGAGAGTATAGCCCTTCAGGCATCTGTGTGTCTCCCCTGAGACCTTGGTCCCAGATCCTCACCTCATTTAAAAACCTTGTCTTTTGCCTCGTAGGGCAGCAAAATACTAAGCCCCTTGTTACTGAGACTGACAAATGTCCGCCTGTGACCTGGAACTTTTATGCCTTCACATAGTTCTGGTTTCCAATTCTCTTTCCATTCTTGGCCGGCAAGGGTTTCCCTTCCTATTCTACATGCTCAGCTAGCATTTTGAACATGTTTGTGACATTTTGCTCAGCATTCTATGGGTTTTGTGGCCAGAGGGTTCTCAGATTATCTAGTTTCCATGTTTCTGGAAACTGAAACCGGCCACATAATTCTCTAGTTATTTTATGCACTCAAGTTACCTTGGCCCAATCAAAAGTCCCCTCTTTTAAAGCCAGACAGGCTTGGGTTTGAATTCCAGCCCGGGTACTCGCCGGTTATGTAACTCTTGACCAAGTGATAGAACCTCTCTGCATGAGTCTAGGGATCTCATAATGCCAGGTTTTCAGGTTTATTGTGAAGATAATCTCTGTTCTCATACAATGCGAGGCACATGAAATGAAACCTAATGTTATTGTTGTTCATTCACAAAATAGTGTTTGCTCTGTGTAAGGCACACCTGTTAAGCGGTAGGAGTAAGAGACAGTAAATATGCAAACAATGTCACAGAAGTTTAAATTCAAGGGCAGCAGGATTCAGAATGCCTGTAGAGGTGGAGTGGGCTTTTTTGATGGGCAGTGGGGGATTCCTATTTGATGACCTGATGTTCGATTTACAATCTAAATAAACTCAGGGTGTCTGGATGGCTCAGTCGGTTAAGCATCTGGCTTTGGCTCAGGTCATGATCTCACTGTTCTTGAGTTTGAGCCCCGCGTCAGGCTTTGTGCAATAGCTCAGAGCCTGGAGCCTGCTTCCGTGTGTCTCCCTATCTCTCTCCGCCCCTCCCCCACTCATGCTCTGTCTCTCTTTCTCTCTCTCTCAAAGATAAACATTAAAAAAATAAATAAAATGTAAATAAACCCAAACATTCTAAAAATTACATGTGATAGTTGCACAACTCTGAACATTCTAAAAAAAGCACTGAGTTGTACACTTTAAATGGGTAAATTGTATGATATATGTAAATCATGATCTCAATGAAGCCTTTGTTTCTTTTTTTTTTTTAATCTGAATGAAGAAAAGCAAACCAGGTAAAGAGACAGAAGACGGTTAACGGTTGACGTCTACACCTCCAGGGGGGCCAGACCATGTGGGGCCTTGTGGGCCATGTGGAATATCTGGGATTGTATCCAAACTGCAATGGGGAGCATTAGAAAGAATTTAACTGGAGAAGTGATAACTGGTTTGTGCTTTGTAACAGTCGTTGTTCTCTCTGCCCGGCAAGGGAATTTATAGGAGGCCGAAGGTGTAGGCGAGAACAGCAAAGGGGGTGCTCCACAACAGTGCGAATGAAGGTCCTAGATACTACAGTTGCGAGTTACTGCCCAGTTCCCTACACTCGACCTTGATGATCATATGACATTATTCTGCAAGCAGAGATGTACTGTGTCCCACAGCAGAGGGACCCAGAAGAAGCAGGGGATTTATGCTCCTTCACTACCCACAAAGGAAAAAGATTACTGTAGCGTCCTGAAGTTGACCCTGCCATTGATTGACAGTCCCTTCGATTATTCATATGGGAACGTTTCTGGATTTTCAGCCCGCCTATCCTGGGCCTCAGTTCACCCATCTTTTCCCATCCCAACCACCTCTGTCTTTCTTTCATTTATGAACTCAGTCAAAATTTGGTATCTAGACCCCACATATGGCAGACATTACTCTATCAATTCTAGAAATCAGGCAACGGTGATGCTATATGTAAATAATTAAGAAGCCTGGCCTTTGGAGTCAGACAGAACCCAAAACGAAAACCCAACTCACATGTTCAGTATGGAAGAATGATCACACGTGTCATCTTAGTGCTATCTGAAGAAACATTAGGTACACCGAAAAATTCACATTCGCAGGAAAATCGAATGACCTTGGAAAATGTCATATTCCAAGTGAAACAGTAGAGTGTAGAATACCATGCACACTCTTATCTTGAGAATGTAAGAATATTTAGAAAAAAAAAGTGAAATAAAACATGTCAAAACATTCGTAATTGCAGATTTGGGGTGGTGGAAGCAACCGTGATTTTTCTGTTTGTTCTCTTCTCTCTCTTTTTTTGTTTTTATTTTTTCTAATGTACAGAGACTCTTTCAGAGGAATGATAAGAAAACGATAAGGTCCACGTTAGAAAAAGTAGCGAGCTGATATCCCAGTGTCGGGGAGACAGCTGGTTAGAGCCCCTTACACACACACCCGACAAGGTGACGGGTGACCTAGACACAAGTGCTACGTTGAAAGGGCTAAAAGGGACATGAGCTCCTCAGGCCATTACCCTGTTTACTCAGGTTTGTGACGTGTGTATTGGCAACATAGCAAGAACTTCGCGAGGGCCTTCACCTCTGTCAAACCACAAGCAGTGCTGATTTAATACTCTGGTATAACAACAACCACAAAAATTGAAGTCTCTTCAGGAGAACAGGAAGAAGAGGGGAAAGATGGTAAGTAGGTCTGCTTCCCTGCGGAGTGGTTTCTCACTGGTGGCTTCTTATCCACTTTGGTGATTGGTATATACAAACAAACACACAAAGGGTTTGGGGGTAGGGAGCCCACCTGTCCACCTCGCCCGGTGGGCCGATTCCCCATCTTGCATTTGCGGTAGCGTGAAGGGGAGGGTCCCCGAGTCTGGGAATCAGATTTCTGTACTGTTTGTGCTTCACGCGGACCGCAGACCGTACGTCTTCTAAAAGGGAGGCGGTCTCTTTGAAATATCCGTGATGGGTACCACTACTAACAGTCATGGCCAGCCCTCCGAAACTCGAGAAGCAGTGGCAGAGGGGTATCAAATACGCATAATGCCAGCAATTTGGTCTACAAGCATTCAGCACATCATTGTTCTTCAACAGAACTGTTCTGATCGAAACCTTTCAAGTTTTTTGGATTTTTAATTTTTTTTCAGTTGCATTTGTTTATTTATTTTTGGGAGAGGGAGAGAGAGAGCTGGAGGGCAGAGAGAAAAGGAGAGAGAGAGAGAGAGAGAGAGAGAGAGAGAATCCTAAGCAGGCTCCACACTGCCAGTGAGGAACCCAATGTGCGACTCAAACTCATGAAACCACGAGACCGTGACCTGAGCTGAAATCAAGAGTTGGATGCTTAACCAACCGACCGAGCCACCCAGGCGCCCCTGTAGTTTTTAGGTCTTAGGATCTAGTATTTCCCCTTTCAAAAAATAACTTTTTTTTTCAAGCTATTATAGGAAACCACAGTGCATTTAACTGATTTAATGAAATTTAATTCCTTACTTCAAGTTCTAAGAGGAGAAAAGGCTCTTTGAAGGCAATCTTTGCTATGATGGCTTCAAGAAGAACCTAGACTGTAGGGATACTGATGATCATGACTGTGGTTAGACACACGCCACTGGCCAAAGTCAACTTCTTTAAGAATAGGAACTATGGCACCTTTAGCTAAAATTTGAGTTTTTCATTAGAGTAAGATCATGCCTGACATTTCATAAAGCTTAAAGGCAAACAAGAATGATTAATCACTTTCATAAATATGCAAACACATTCAAACCATGATATTAAAAAGGTGTATTACCTTTGAGACAAAATGGCAGAACCAGAACTTTTTAATTGTCAAGAATTTTACGTAGCAAGTTTATTTATTCAGTAACATAATAAAATAGGGATATTACATTGGCAGAAGTGGACTTAAGGAGCACAAAATATTAGCTTAAAATGGGAAAACAGTGGGATCGTTTTCAGGAGGCTCATAGGAAACTTTCCATTTATAATGCTACTTTTTCGTAACTAACAGGAGTAATATGCAGCCTTTCTATGATAAACAGCGATCGTGGTACCTGAGTAGTACGTGCATTCTATCGCACACTCAGACACTATTCGGGACAGATGCTTTTCTAATTACTTAAGCAATGCTTTCCAGCTCATTCAATACTTTGTCTAAACAGCTTTAAAGCATATGAAAAAGCAAACGATCGTACGTGCTTAAGTATAAAACATTTCGGGAAGCGATGCTCCGAATGTACTCATTCACTTAGAGCACCAACTGCTTCATGTGTAAAACCGGCTTGAAATGATCACCCACCTCTCGTGAGGCTTTCCAACTTCAATAATGGCATTAAAAAATGAGTTCGGGGGTAAATCGCCAATATATTTGGAAACACAGCCCAAACAAAGAGACTGGATTCAAAGACACAATTCAGAAGTGAGCCAACTATTTTTGTACATTATAGTAACTGGGTCTTCGTTCGAAATTTCAAACACAGGTGATATTAACCATATGTACGATGCATGACATCCAATCAAAATGGCACTTGAAGGAAGTTGCTGCCTAACCTAAAGGAAAGATGTCACGGCCAGATTCCCGCATGGGGGTTAAATTCTTTACACTAATAAAGTAGGTTTTCAGATTCCCTAACTTTCGATATTTTGGAACCCTTTGTGTTTTCCCTGTAGACATCTCAGACAAGCTGTAAAATTTGTGAGGACGCTTACCATCCCACTTGGATTGTAAAATATGTCAACTCTAATACTATATAAGGAAGGCAGATCTGACTCATTTAGTGGGCAAGCCCTACATTCTGAACTATGCAACTCAAACTAGACCCTGTGGCAAATGATTCATTTTCTCAGCAGGTAATTAAGGTTACCTGCAATAAGGCAATTCCCTCTTGGCCTTTGGCCGTAGCCTGGGTCTTTAAAACAAGGTTCTAAACTGTAGGTCATGCAAAATGGTATAATTTCCTTAGCAGGCGATTAAGGAAATCTTCCATAAAGGTGCAAGAGAGAGAATATGAGTTTTAAGAAGGCTCACTGAATTAACGAAGCTCTCCCTCCCTTCCAATCCAGCAAATTCAGTGATCCAAGAAACTGAATTGGAAATAGAAATAATGCATCTGTGAAGTTAACGGCATGAAATTCCACAATGTTCCTTAGACTTGTCACTCATTTCCAGAACGGGAAAGGATTCGAGATAACAATATTACTTCATTTCTTTAGAGTGAAGTAGGTTTAAAAAGTGTTTACCCTCTTTAAGACTTTTTACAGTGTTGATTAGCACTCATCAGTAAATAAGTGAGACCGTTGCATTCATTTGCATATGCAAATTAAGCTGGGAAATCCATAAAAACGTATTTATCACCAGTAAACCAACCAGCACAGCACAACATAAAAGAAAGGGAATATACGTATTCCCTTCATACGTATATTACTTCATATACGTATAAGAATAAAAGCCTTTTAATAAAAAAATCTATCATTTTTATTTCAAAAAAGCTTTCCATTTTAAACATCATCATTACTCAAAAGTCACACTGAAAATGCTATCAATAAATGCCTTTACAACTTCAAGTAAATGACTTTCCTTGTGAATACTTGCTTTTAATCATCCTTTTTGTCTGAGGTGCTCTCGTCGTGATTTTCGGGACTGACTTTATTGCTGGCGATCAAGGGAGCTGCCTGGGCTTCTTTTGGTAATGAAAACACATGGCACGTCTGGAGGTCTAAGTAGGTTGTAAATATCTTCGCGTATTGTGGATGCTTTAGGGCAAAACTTTTAAATTCCTCTAGAAGAGAGAAAAAAAAAAAACCCCGTAAATAGAGACGCGTCTTCTTTTGGCACGATGCCGATTAATATAGGACCTTAACGATAGGATCATTGCAAACTCCCATTACTCGACTCTTAGGAATCATACAGCCACTTTGGAAGACAGTTTTTCCATCATTTAGTAGAGTCGAGGATGTACATACGTCGTGACCTGTCGATTCTCTTCCGAAGTCTATAACCTAGAGAAATTTGTGCGTGGTGTGTTTGTTCTGGGAGACATGAATAAGACTGTTCACAGCGACCTTAGTTATGACGGGTGACAGTGCCAACGACCCGAGTCTGTCGGCAGCAGACATGGGGATGCGTAGCATTTTCATGGAACAGAGCAGCTCTACGGCAGAGAAGATGAACAAACAGCTGTGTTGTAGCCATGTGGTCGGATCTTAAAGCCATAACGTTGAATGAAAACAGCCAGATACACAAGAATGCATATTCGTATGAGTCCATTATATGAAGTTCAAAAACTCGGCCAAAGCTAACACATGATATTTAACGATGGTACTTTGTGGTGAGATGCTAACAAGTAAAGCGAGGTAGAGAGTCCTTTGAACGTCAGGTTCGCTAGGCACACGTGGGTGGCTCAGTCCGTTGAGCGTCTCACTCGTGATTTTGGCTCAGGTCAAGATCTCATGGTTCGTGAGAACAAACCCCATGTTGGACTTTTAAAGTCAGGTCCGTCATGCCCGCTTTAGGAGAGAGAAAGGGGTTGTCCCTGGGAAGGGGTGCACAAGGGTTCCCTGAAAAGCTCTATTTCTTTTTCTTTTTTTAAGTTTATTTATTTATTTTCAGAGAGAGAGAGAGAAGGGAGGAGGGGCAGAGAGACAGGGAGAGAGAGATTCCCCAACTGGCAGCGCAGAGCCCCATGCGGTGCTTGAACACCTGAACTGTGTGAGATCGTCACCCAAGCCAAAAATAAGACTCTCAGCTGACTGAGTCACCCAGGCTCCCCGAAAAGCTCTATTTCTTGACCTGAACATTGGTAACATAAGTGTTCACTTTACAAAAGCTTGTGATGCTCTATGTTTATGTTTTCATTCAATTTTCTCTATTGCTGTTATTTTTTATAATAAAAAAATGCTTAAAAATGCTATTGCTCATGACTTTTTCTTACTGGCTTTCCAAACGATTTTAACCTTTAATTCTGGTATACAAATTCACAGTCTTGAGAAGCTGAGCCCCGACTTATGATCAATAAAGACAAGTAGAAGGTACAATATATAATCATCCTATCATGAGATCTCTGAGTCGTGGGCCTCTTTCTATCTTTGGGGTCTTGGATTTACGAACTGAGGTAGAGGTTTAGAAGGCTAACTAAGTTAACCATCAGAGTTTGCATGTCAAGCCTCCGATAACCTGATGTTTCTGAAGTATAATGCCACCCTCAATTCTGAAGCCCCTCTATCCTCTTCTGTTTGGACGGAGAGAACTTTATTGAGTTTACACAGCAAAAGGAGCCTAGACTTTGAATCAGCTAGCTATCCAAATAAAAGGATTTTTAACCCCATGTTCTAGTTCTATTTCTTTTTTAAAAATCCTCTGATAACCCAGAGTCTATTTCACAGCATGTTAGACTAACACACAACTCCTGGAGAAAGAAATAGGTCTCAGTGATGAGAAAGCTACCAGACTGAGCCCAAATCATGCTTTGCAACAGCAACATTATTTTGCATTAATAGACCACTTTATGTTTCTGAATCAGGCAAGCTATTAACATGTTCTTTGAATGTTCTTTTTTAACATCCAAAATAAAGGTTCATCTGCAGGAGTCTGTCTCAGTGTTGAAGGCACAGGGGACTTAAGTGACTTTTACGGAAAGTAAACAGGAGAGTTGATCTACTGAAACCAAGGTCTTTCAAGACTTGTGCTCTATTCAAAAAGTCAAGGTCTCTGTCCTCTTTGGGGATGTCAGTGGCATTAAAAAGCAACTCATTTCTAGAAGAAGTACTGTGAACTGGCTAATCCGTGGAATTTGGGCATTAATTTGGCTAATGGAAAACCGAGAAGGAAAATAATTTAAATGGTCACATTCTGATACATTTCAATAGCTATTCTTTTATAAAATCATACTTAAATGCTTCCGAACATTTTTGCAAAAAAAAGGAAACAGGTATAATATCGGGGAAAGGGAGATACGGTGTGTATTCTAAAAAAGAAAAAGATCAAACACCGAAAAACAAAGCAGATAAAATTATTAAAACTGACAGGCAAAGTTATGACTACCTAACAAATCATTTTTGGTATAACTGCCACTGAAATAGTTACTCCAAATAGTAGGGCTGAATTTGGCAACCAAATAGTTGTTCTGAGTTGTTCTGAACTCAGTAAGCAGTCTTACTTGTGAAAGGAAATGGTCAGAGAATTAGTACCCAGGGGGTTTATGACTCATACATTTTATCTCAATATGTATTTCCCATTTTTCCACCTTCCCTCCCTCCCTCCCTCCCTTCCTCCCTTCTTTCCTTCCTTCCTTCCTTCCTTCCTTCCTTCCTTCCTTCCTTCCTTCCTCTCAATAGAGTAAGTGCCCTAGGCATTTAATTACCTAACATAGAATGAAGGGCAGGCAGAATGATAGTAATTAAAAACAGAGAGTAAAAGAATTTTGCGATCTAATTCCCCCATCCCATGAAAGTTAAGCTGAAACTCTGCACCATAAGGAAAGAGGCCCTCAAGAGGAATCCCCCTGCAGCCTGCAGGAGAGGCTGGGGGAGGTACGCCAGCCTGACGTGAATGGCACAGCTGAGCCAAGGAGTCACCTGGGCTTCTCCACTCAGATGTTTCTCAACGACTGTACCAGGAAATAACGGCGGAAACCGACGGACCATCCTTCAGCCCTAGGGGACTTGTTTTGATGTGTGGACTCAAGCCATCTGGAGAAAGCTTGGTCACTGATGGCTGGACCTGCCGTGTGGCCACAGGGTCTTCTTCTGCCGTGAAAGTCCCAGCTTCACAGCGGTGCCATCAACATGATGGGAGAAAACAAGCCTGTGTGAAAGCTTAGCTAAGCTGCTGACGGTGAACATCAATAGATGGTTTAGCTGCTATTATCCTTGTTGGCACCTCAGTCCCCACTGCTCTACTGTGGTTACACCCACTTCAGTTGACTTGCTCAGTTTTGCTCAGCCACGGAGACGGTGGAAGGGAAAAGACCCTTCCGGGAGGGGCAGCGGATGACAGGTAAGGTGGGGAGGGCAGAGGGCAGGCTCTAAAACCAGACCGTCGCGGCTTTTGAATCCTGGCTCTGACATTCTCTAGCTGATGCCCTTAGGTAACTTAGTTAAATGTTATGCATCTCAATCAAATAATAATTAAGAGTACTGATTAGGGGCGCCTGGGTGGCTCAGTCGGTTGAACGTCTGACTTCGGCTCGGGTCATGATCTCGCGGTCTGTGAGTTCGAGCCCCGCGTCGGGCTCCGTGCTGATGGCTCACAGCCTGGAGCCTGCTTCGGAGTCTGTGTCTTCCTCTCTCTCTGCCCGTCCCCTGCTCATGCTCTGTCTCTCTCAATAATAAATAAACATTAAAAAAAATAAAAAAAAATAAAAAATAAGAGTACTGACTAAATAGGCCTGCTAATAAATAAAGACTTATTAAAAATGTTTAGAAGAGTGCTTTAGCATCTAAGCCCTCAGTAATTAGCTACTCTTACACCACTACCCCTGTTATTATTACTGTCAACATCATTATTACCGTTATTTCTGTTAATAGAATTAGTGGAGGGACCTCCCGCCTGAGGGTCCATCTGTAGTCAGGGATGGCTCCTGGTAAACTAAAGCAGAAACCAAGCTGCCCACTCACCATACGAAACAGAATCCCCCTGGGCTATTTCCTTGAAGAGACCGGAAACATCCAGGTCGGGCACCCCAAGGGAGGCCTGCAAAATGGTGGAAAACTCTTCCTCTGTGATGAAGCCGTCCTCATCAACATCAAAGAGCTGAAGGAAGAGGAAAATAAAATATAGGAATGAGTGCCGGCAGAACAGAAATGGGATGGAGTAATCCCAGAAAATCTTTAATAATTCAAACCGTTATTGTGCCAGGGGCAAGGGAGATGCACGTGAAGTTAGAATGGTCTCTGCTGCCCATGTAGCTTGGGCATGGAAAGAGACAGAATTAAAACAGGGGTGACAACAACAGTAAGTACAGAGGACGTGGGAGGCCTGTGGAGAACAAGATGAATCCTACGGGAGAGGTCAGGGGAAGCTTGACCCAGGTGACACGTGAGGTGGGTCTCAGAGCACAAAGGGATATTCCTGGAACATACAAGGACTGGCAGGTGAGTGTCGGGGGCTGGAACCAGGAGACTGACGGACAAGCAGGACTCACGCCATGATGGGTGTGTGACACCTCACCTAACCCTGTGGGATTATGACAGTGGGGGACGCGCTGTGATCATATGTGAATTCAGAGCGAGGAGGATGGATTGGGGTCAGAAGGTTGGAAAGACTAGAGGCGGGAGAGCCAATTAAGTGTGGCGTGGAGGGGGGCCTGGGCGGCTCGGTCGGTCAGTTAAGCCTCGGACCCTCGATTTCGGCTCAGGTCGTGATCTCCCAGTTCGTGAGATGGAGCCTTGCCTCAGGCTCTGCATGGACAGCACAGAGCCTGCTTGGGATTCTCTTTCTCTCCCTCTTTCTCTGCCCCTCCCCTACTTATGCTCGCATGCTCTCTCTCTCAAAATAAATAAATAAACTTAAAAAAAAAAAAAAGAGTGTGAGGGGGAGGAGTGGGAAGGACAGGAAGGGGCAGGATTTATAAGAAAGCAGGGGCAGGACTGGCATGGCAATCGGGGCCCGCGGGGATGGACGGGAAGGAGTGTGAGTGGGCGGGGGGCGTTCTAGCCTGGGCACCTGGGATGAAGTGGGTGCCCTACCAAGAACGGGAGAACAGGGGTCCCCCGAGACCTAGGAGCTGGACCTGGGGGCGTAAAACCTGAGTGGGAGGAGATGAAGCGCCTCAGCTCAGGACAGTGGCGAGGCCTGAGCCGGGAATTCGGCAAAGAGCTGAGACGAGGGGTGTGTCGGAGCTTATCTGCAGGGAACGCACACAGTAAGGCAAAGCCCTGGGACAGCACGAGGGGAAGTACTTTGGAAGAAGCTGCCAGAGAGCTGGAGAACCGGAAATGAAGAGCATGCGACTCAGCCCCAATAGGAGGGAGAACAGCACCAAAGTGAAAAGCGAATGAGCATTTGTTTTTGCAAAGGGTGGCCCGGGGCTCAGCAGTAACTGCCAAGGATCTCGTCACACCCGGCTCCTCACAAGCGGGAGCGCAGCTTCCTTCCCGGGCCTTCCATCCCTAAACAATCCTCGGCAACTCATCTGTCACATTTGGCGCTTCGGTGGCTCTCACTTCTGTGGCAGTTCCCTTCACGTGTCCGTACTGGGGGCCTTTGCTTCTTCTCCATCTGGCCTCTGTCATCACTACTCCAGATTGTGCCCCTCACTGAAATGTTCAATTTCCCTCAACTACTCATCGCTCCCAGTAGTCTCCCTGCTGCAGAGTAAATCCCACACTCTGGACTCCAGTAGAGAGCTCAGCACCCTGATTTCCTTAGGGGGAGTGGTATCTCCCCACTGCATGGACTACGGTGGGACTCTGAGCCAAAATACCCCGTCTTTCCAGCAAGCACACGCTCTTTACAGCAGGACCAGTTGGACCCTCCCTGGAACGCGACTGAGGACAGAGGACAGAATTGGAGGTGCTCATTCTAACTGGCCTCTGGGGTCGCTGCCTCTGAGACCACCCTTGAGCCCCCTCCCCGGCCATATGGTGATTTTTGCAGCCACAGTCCACGCCTGTCTGCTCAGGGCTAGAGAACGCTAGCTAACACTCTACCCCTGAAGGTCACTGTGGTCACGGAATGGGATCAAGGACGGGGAGTTACCTGGGAAGTGCTTCCCAAGTAAAGGATTGGATCCCGTACGTATAAACGGATACTACTAAATGAAACATAAAAGTATGCCAAAATATTTCTTTAAACACCAAACACACCTGGAAAAGGAGGTTGAAAAATAACCACAGGAAAGCATGACCCTTGTCTTACTGGAAAAAGAGTTAATTATAGTGTCAGGTCCTCCTTGCCTGCCTCTGTACCAAACCGAGGTCTAGGCCAGAGAAAAATCTCACGGCGTCTTTAAAAACAATAATTACTGTGACTGAGGGCCAAATTTTCTACCGGGTCTTTCATCGGTGAACCAAAAGTGACCGTTTACTCAGCTAAACTTACAATTATGTATGCAGTCCCAAAACAGAAACAGAAATATCTGAATTGGAATCAGTTAGCTATGTGTATAATTTTAGGTTTTATGATGAATAAGTCTGTAAAAGCCAAACGTTTTAAACTTGGAAAAAGTTCTGGCCCTTGCCTTCTGACCATCTGCTAAGCATCAACCACTTGGGTTCTTTATAGGCCTAACAGTTAACTCCGTTTTAACCAATCTGAGATAAAAAGCCGGCTTGGGGACTTCGCCGTCGATGACAGAGCACGTGAACATTCCTGAGGCTTGCCCTGGTGGCCCCTAAAACGTGAGAAAGGACTCTCGGAGGAAGAGAGTCTCTTCTAGACAATAGAGGGGAAAGAAAACCTTGTGGGATGCTCTTCTCAGAAAATCCGGAAGAGAGGGAAGTAGGAGCAGGAACAGGGAAGGTCCTCGGTGGTCATGGTGGGTGGAAACAGGGAGACCTCCATGCAGCTGAAGGATGAATCAAGTTTTTGTTTTACTTGAGAGCAGACGACACAGCCTTAGAACGGGTAGGGAACATCCTGCATAAATACGCAGTAGATGCAGCACCTTTTATCTCAGAAAAACGAAAAACACTTTGGGAACGTATTCTTCCAGCTCCTCTTGGGGGCATGCAGGTGATACACGGGAGTCGGGGTCGTCACAGCTCAAACCTCCACCGGGTTCTGCTGAGCACGGGACCATGCGTGCTATTCCTCTGCCCCGCCCCCCTTCCCTCATATCGCTGTGAAAGTACACGTGATACCCCAGGAAAACACACAGGGTGGGGAACTTGGGACATTTAGCATGACGCTCACCTGACATCCCACAATAAAATAAATTCCATCAGGAAAACAGCACTTAAAATAGCTCTGACACACAGAAGGAGAAAATGTGAGGACAGAGGAGAACTTTCCGGATGGTGAATTAGGATGACTAGTGGCAGGTGGTGTTTATTTATACACCGCACTTCGGGGCTCCAAAACGGACAGGCTGGAAAGAAAGAATTTTTAAAGCGAATTTGTTAAATTCACCGGCTCTTCAATTTTGATGCTATTAGTTAAGCTTCTCCCAAGGACTTCCTTTTTGCTTAACCGGATGCTTGCGGTTTCTTTAGTCTCAGTGGCAATTGTCTTAATCACATTACCCCTGTGTACACGTCCCAGCAGATCTATAAACTCAGGTAATGGATTCACTGGTTTTCACATAATGCACTTAGAGTCAACACTTGTTCACGAGGCAGACGAAGATGTTTTCAGCGGGGCTGACAGTACCTTAAATGCCATTTGGATGATGTCCTCCGTGTTGGCAGGGTTACACAGGACAGCCAGGCCAATCACATACTCTCGGAAGTCAATGCTGCCATCATGGTTCTGTGAGAGGAGGGGAGAAATCAATTAGGAGAGCCACCAGTTGAATTACCATTGATCACAGGGCAAAGGTGGACTCCAGGTATGTCACACAGCTTGGCATCATCACGTGCTGAGCTTACTTGGAAAAAAAGTTCCTACTGAGAGGGAACAGCAGGCTAGTGGCCTGCCCATTCCCAGTTCAGAAGGAAGGAAAATATATTTCTGCTTAGTAAGAAATAAAAACATTTAATCACGGAGGCCATGTAGAGCGGCTCTGGGGCACCTGGCATGGGTTCTTGAGCGAAGGCCTGATGGAAGCCCCTCTTCGAGGCAGGATCTAGAATCTTGGTGGTGGCCCCGCCATGATGGCCAACACCAACAGGTCACTAGAGAGTGACCAAGGTCACTAAGCAACTCTCTATGTGTAGACAATGGAAGGGAAAGGAAAGGAGAGGAGGGAGGAGGAAGAGGAGGAAGGAAGGAAGGGAAGGGAAGGGAAGGGAAAGGAAAGGAAGGACAGACTCAGGCAACAATTGCAGACAGATTCTTTCTTCCTTGCAGGCTTTGTCTGCAATAAGCCAGAAGCAAGTGTGCAAATCTGAGCCACTTCAATGGCCCCATGATGATGTGAGGCCCCAGAAGATCCAGAACTCTGAAGCATCTAGCTACTACATTAGTATCTCTGTACCTCAGGAGGTGTGGCACGGCAATACAAAAGAAGGCATGGATAATTCTAAGCCAGGTGGACTGAGTGCGCTGTTTCTTACACGTGAACTACTCGTCTAGACAGGAACGCTGAGGCCAAAGTGGGGAGAAGGAGATTCCGAGAACTGCAAAGAGGCCCCTGCGATTATAACCCCAGGGTCTTAGAAGCACTTGGGCGGCACAAAGTCTTCAAGTGATGAATTCCCAGATAAAGTGTGAACCGGCAACAATAGAGCTAGCGTTGTACTTCGCACTTGAACAAATGGTGTTCGGCATCACCAAGAGCGTAAGCTTTACCTGTGGCCGAGTATCTACATTTCGACCATCAGGAAGTCCTCTAGGGCAAGGATTGCTTTCTCTGTGCGGCACTGTATTTCCAGTGCTTAGCGCACATAGGTAGGCACTAGAAACAATACTGCTTTTTCTCCTTGACTCTTACCTACTTTGAGTTCACTTGAAAAACTAAAGCGCCTGGTGGCTCAGATGGCGAAGCGTCTGACTCTGGATTTCAGCTCAGGTCATGATCCCACGGTTCATGAGATCAAGCCCCACGTCGGGCTACGTGCCGACAGTGTGGAACCTGCTTGGGATTCTCTCTCTCCCTCTCCCCCTTGCACGCTCTCTCTCTCTCTAAAAAATAAATAAGTAAAAACTTTAAAAATAAATAAATAGAACTGAAGTAAGTGCTCTTCACTGGGGTTCCACGGATGAGCTTGGGGTAAGGGGAGGCCGTGAAGCCCCTGAAACGGTGTGCAGTTTGTGTGTGTGCATTTTTCTAGGAAAGAAAATTGCAGCTTTTGCCTGCTTCTGGAAGCAACCAGGACTCAAAGGATCAAGAGTCACTTTTCGCGTGCTGCTTTATCTTACTGCAGGGTGGGAACTAAAAGGAGAAGCAATTTAACTTCCCTTTCCCATCAGAGAAAATAGAAACAAAGATATTTCAAGACTTCCCTTAAGTAACACGGTTTATTCCGGAGACAAAAACTCAGGTCCTCTGACTTCCATTTTTGTCTGGTTATCTACAAAGGCGATTTCTTCCTTTTCTTGAATCAGTTTGTTTGAAAAAAAGTTGACTTAAGAAAATGTATCATTTACATTTGATGAAAAGCACCCATTTTTTTTTTTAATATGAAATTTATTGTCACATGGGTTTCCATACAACACCCAGTGCTCATCCCAACAGGTGCCCTCCTCAATGCCCATCACCCACCCTCCCCTCCCTCCCACCCCCATCAACCCTCAGTTTATTCTCAGTTTTTAAGAGTCTCTTATGGTTTGGCTCCCTCCCTCTCTAACCTTTTTTCTTTTTCTCCTTCCCCTCCCCATGGTCTTCTGTTAAGTTTCTCAGGGTCCACACATGAGTGAAAACATATGGTATCTGTCTTTCTCTGACTTATTTCACTTAGCATCACACTCTCCAGTTCCATCCACGTGGCTACAAAGGGCCAGATTTCATTCTTTCTCATTGCCACATAATATTCCATTGTGTATATAAACCACAATTGCTTTATCCATTCGTCAGTTGATGGACATTGAGGCTCTGTCTGTCATTTGGCTATCGTCGAAAGTGCTGAAAAGCACCCATTTTAAATGTGCAGTTAAGGTGTTTTGACAAAGGCATACACCAGGGTAACCACCACTGCCACAATCAGTATCTATGACATTTTCATCATACCAGAAATTTTAGAGACGGTAGAGTTTAAAAAATTTTTTTTTTCAACGTCTATTTATTTTTGGGACAGAGAGAGACAGAGCATGAACGGGGGAGGGGCAGAGAGAGAGGGAGACACAGAATCGGAAACAGTCTCCAGGCTCTGAGCCATCAGCCCAGAGCCCGACGCGGGGCTCGAACTCACGGACCGCGAGATCGTGACTTGGCTGAAGTCGGACGCTTAACCGACTGCGCCACCCAGGCGCCCCGAGACGGTAGAGTTTTAAGTGACATCATTTTCTTCTTGGGCCAGCACCAGTTTACTTCCTTATGCACCATGGAGGGCTGCTGTTCATCAGCCTCAGAGGCCGAGCAGAGCAGCTTTCCAAACCATAGATGTATTATTCAATATAGGCACATTTATTCCGCAAGTGGCTTTCTTGATGAAGCAACACAGGGCCTTGGATAGAAGTTTGGAAGAACGTACAGAAGAATGGTCTGTGGACACTGAAGACGTCATAGATTGTGTGCCTGGGCCTGTGCTTTTAAATTTATGTTGTCTCTCTATTGTGAGGCATCCAATTTTTATCTTTACCACCGAACCCTACGTAAAACACAGGTCAAGTATTAGAACTCATTTTTCGGAGGGACAAAGAGAAATATAAAGGACTCTTCACATTACCACTATTCACAAAACAAAGTAATGTTCTGGACCTCTTCTCCAGGAGTGGTCTTGGCTGACAAAAAGAAGCAGACCCTTGATAAAGGATGTTAAAGCAGACCTTGCTAATCAGACACATGAGAAATTATATGTTACATTTTCATCGTAGTAGTGTAAGGAGGGGAAAGCAGTGTGGAAATCATTCTTAGGTGTTTTATTATTGGATGAATAAAATGATACATTGTTAAGGTTCCAAATTAAAAATAATAAGACTTGGAACTGGAAGGAACCTTAGAAATCATCCATTTGACTAATTCAGTTTTACTAATAAAAAAAGAATTCATTTTTACTAATAAAAAAAACGGGAGATTTTGACGTTTAAAAATGTAGATGGCATAATTTCACATGATTTTTAAAAATCACTGAGTATTCTTTTCTCTTTTTAAAAAATATTTATTTATTTTTATTTTATTTTTATTTTTTTTTTATTTTGAGAGAGAAAGAGAGAGAGAGAGTGCGAGCAGGGGAGGGGCAGAGAGAGAATCCCAAGCAGGCTCTGCACCGACGTGGGGCTCTATCCCGCTTCACTTGACATCACAAAACTTGCTATTATCATCAACTACAATTAAAATTTAGGTAACTGGATTCCGAATCATTCAAATTAAAGCAAGTAGTTTAATAAAATAGATTCAAAAAACAAACAATAAAAAAGTATACGATGAGGGACACTCCTTTCATTTTTTAATTTCAAATCAGTTCCGGGATAAAGATTAACCCTCAGATCTGTGGAGTTAATTCTTTAAAAACCTATTGAACTTCTCTGGAAAAATTAGACACTTAAAAAAAATCTAGGCTTGAGAATATTTCAGGGCCACATTTAGAAGGAGGAGACCAGCTTTCTGGAAGGAGACCCTAATCCCTCTGTAATCTGTCCTAATCTGGAGGCCAGGACAGCCCCGAGTAGGAACCACGGATTTGCGCTGAATCACTGCAAACAGAAGGGGTGACCAAGCCTGGACGAAGCTCCAGACGGTGGGCCCCGTGCCTTCCCTGGTGGTCAGCAGGATCAGAAGAGCATGGAAGTGAGGGCTGACGGTCACCGTGACCTCACGGCACCCCAGCGCCCTGCCAGTCCCACTGTCACTCGACACTAGCTTCTAGGACCAGCAGGAAGTTCCAAACCACATGTTCAAACACGGCCCATTTAAAATTGCAGAAGGGACAAATGGTGATTTTCCTGCATCTGATTCTCAGGTATCCGTTCCCTAAAGCTTTTCATAGTTGGATTCGTTCAACATTTTTATTTCTACAGAAGCAGGTATGTTTAACAACATTTGAAGTCCAGCAGCATTTAAGGATATGGGTGTGAATACATTTTGAAATGGCAAACCCCCAAGGACAGGACTATATTCTCTTTGGTATGTTATCATTGGTACCACCCCTGAAGGTGAGAGATCGTCAATACCATCAAAATAATTTAGAAATGCTTCCATAAAAACAGAACTTACTATGCAGCAGTCAACAGAAAAAGGCCTTGAGTCCTTGAAGATACTCTACAAATCCAAAGGAGTTCTATTATTAAAATACAGTAAATTCTCAGTTTCCCAGAGGATTCTGGGGAGAGGCATTCTGTTGGCTCAAATATTCTTAGTAAGAGCGTATTTCTACCCACATATGTAATTGTATTACCAATTTTCCAGGAATTAAATTGCTTTAATCCACTTAGCATTAAACGCAGACACTTTTAAGAAGTGATTCTAAAAGCACCTCAAGATCAATAAACATGTTAAATATCAGGACCCTGCAGGTGCATCTGTGAATATTTTTTAAGGCCCCACCATGGGTTAGTTGCGCAATATTACTGATGGAATTTCTGAGTTAAAAAAACAGTTTTTAAAAACACAAGCACTACTACTCAAAAGATATTTTAAGTGACCTTTAAGATGATGTATACATTTTGAACATTCTCAGAGGTTTGCTTTCCTTAGGTACAGAGCGTGTAGTTCTTTTTCCTGTTGTTACAGGTTACAGAATCCAATGATTATATCAAGATAAAGGTGTTTTTCAAAACCAAGTGGCAGATTTTGAAATTAAAAAGTGTAGATGGTACAATTTCACTTGCTTTTTTAAAATCGCCGGGTATTCTTTTCTCTTTTTAAAAAACATTTATTGATTTATTTAGTTTGAGAGAGAGAGAGAGAGTGAGCAGGAGAGGGGCAGAAAGAGGGAGAGAGAATACTAAGCAGGCTCTGCACTGTCAATGCAAAGCCTGACTCGGGGCTCTGTCCCACAAACCATGAGATCATGACCTGAGCTGGAATCAAGAATCAGATGCTTAGCCGAGCCACGCAGGCGCCCCACTGGGTATTATTATTTTCAACTTAAAACATCGATCGTATAGCTTAATGTTAGAAATTGAAAAATAATGGGATGAAATGATATGAATCAAAGACCTCTGTCTTAGGTTATAAGTAGTCTTCCATGTAGAAATGGTAAATTTAAAAAAGTGTATCACATAAATACTCCCTCTTACATTGAAAATGTGCCTTTAGGGGCTCCTGTGTGGCTCAGTAGGTTGAGCACCCGACCTCGGCTCAGGTCATGACCTCACAGTCTGTGAATTCAAGCCCTGTATCGGGCTCTGTGCTGATGGCTCAAAGCCTGGACCCTGCTTCGAAATCTGCGACTCCCTCTCTCTGCCCCTCCCCCCATTCATGCTCTCTCTCTCTCTCTAAAAATAAATAAACATTAAGAAAAAAGAACATTTGGGGCACCTGGGTGGCTCAGTCGGTTGAGCGTCCGACTTCAGCTCAGGTCATGATCTCACAGTTCACGAGTTCGAGCCCCGCATCAGGCTCTGTGCTGACGGCTCGGAGCCTGGAGCCTGTTTCAGATTCTGTGTCTCCCTGTCTCTCTGCCCCTTCCCTGCTCATGCTCTTTGTCTCTCTCTTTCTCAAAAATAAATAAACATAAAAAAATTAAAACATCAACTGTTGGAAAAAAACTAAGAAATTCAATTACTTGTGGCTATTGCTTCTGCACAATGCCAAAGTTTGGGGTACTGAAAAAAAATCCAGAGCTTGGATTGGATTTTCCAATGTCTACTCTAGTGACTGGGGTTATCTGTACAAATGTTCTACAAATTCAGAAGAGAAGAGAAGAGAAATGTAAGTAACTGTGGGATGTTCTGCCCTGTGCAGTCAGGAAGAGAATCGTAAGGGCCGATAATCCCTTGACCCGTGAGGAGCAAGAAAAATACTTAATACCGCCTCCCACTTGAGGTAACTGTCTTAACTTCCAAAAAATATTTAGAATTAAGTGAGGAAAAAAAAGTGCAGTGCAGTTATGCTGCCCTTTCTACAACCATCACGCAGAAAGGTTAAATAATAAGCTTAACATTCTGAGACCTTAAAAGGCATCTTGGCGGCTTTCCCCTTTCTTGGCTATATTCCTACGCTCATGCCTAACATCTGAATGGGCGGACTGTAAAACAGGAATCCTGACATTAACGTGTGGTTGCTGGCGGCAGCCTCATTCTGATATGACCATACCTGGTCTAAGCAGCACACCAGAGCAGGCTTAAGTTACAAAGCCCCTGGCGGAAGGTGGACGTGGTGGTCTCTGTGCTTGGTTCAGGGCAGGATTATACGCACGTGGTGGTGCATAAATATGATATGATGATGATGATGGTGAGCAAAGAGGCCAAATGCCGACCTCGCCTGATTTCACTGGGGATTGCTCCCAGGCAGCCGCGGGCTGTTAACGAGGGAGTTACGTCGGGTCTATAGTTAAACTCTCCTCTAAATGAGTCAACAGAGGAAGGAAGAATTTATCTTCAACCTCAGGAGGACCCTCCAAGGTAGCCTTGGAGAGAGGGGGAACGCATGAAAAGCCAGAGAAGCAGGAGGGGTAGAAGCCAATTAAACAGCAGGCGAGGGGACTGAGCGGTTGCCCATGCAGCCCCCGTAGCTGAGTCTACTGGATCCTGCCTGCCCCACCATAATCACCTGAATCAAAATGAAAGAGCCAAACCGAGGGCCACACGCAAGAAAGCACGACTGCCCTGCCTGGCAACCGTGGATGCTTGCTGGAATCATCTGGGGGAGCTTTAAAAGTACTCATGTCTCCAGGGCGCCTGGGTGGCTCAGTCCGTTAAGGGTCCGACTTTAGCTCGGGTCATGGTTCATGGGTTCGAGCCTTGCTACGGGCTCTGTGCTGACAGCTCAGAGCCTGGAGCCTGCTTCGGATTCTGTCTCTCTCTCTCTCTTTCTCTGCCCCTTCCCCACTCGTGTTCTGTCTCTCTTTCTCCCTCAAAAATACATAAACATTTAAA